AACTAACCAAGCAATAGTGTTTCACATATGCGCTGATACATAGAATTTTTCCACTCAAACAATGTACAGATTTTTCAGGTACAAAATATACCTAAAAATAATAAACTAGAAGAGAAGGTCGGTTCGAAAATGACAAGAACTTATCCCTATAAGGATTTTAATTAATTTTTGCTCATCGGTCGATTATATCAGAAAGCAGTTTTGTCAGGTGGTCAGCTATAAACGGAACGCAGAAAATTTGTTCAATTAGGGACAACGAAGATGTTGGTGGTTGGCACTGTGTGAAACCAAATAATTTATTCAATTTATCGCATAATTACTTCTTTACATATTGCCTGCCATTAGTTGTCATTCCTTCATATTCTTTTTTTCTTACATATATATAAAAATATTATATTAAAACTGCTAGCCAATGATTAGCACCCGTTGGGTCGTCGGAAACAAAATCGCGATCTCCCACAGATATCATGGGCCGAAGGAGACCATTAGGTAGGGCGGACAATGAGAAGCTCAGTGCTTGGGGTAAGCCTGTTCGCCTGCTTGCGTTCTTAAAAGGTAAGTCCGTGCTATTCTTTTAACTGTAACCGTGGGAGGAGCGTCCGAAAGGTAGAATTTAAAATCCTCCCCTACTAGCTCAGCAAAGCGACGTAAGTCGGTCTCGTCAGTCTCCAATCCTCTAGTCGTGAGCCAGAGCCATGAAAAAAATTGAGTTTTAATAAAGATAGACAGAGTGTGACATTACTTAAGCAAGAACAGAGAAACCCGCTTAATCAATTAATGAAACAGTAAATTAACAAATATCTAAGCCAGTGCTTCTCATTAATACTGGTTTCAGTCGATGACTTATTGTCTTTGCGGGCCGAAGAGATTCGAATCTTACAATGGTGCACAACAAATAGCTGGGAATTCACATTGCGATAAAAAGGATAGACAAGCGCGTAGTTGGCAACGACTAAGACTTTCAAGAATATATCTGTTATCGTTAGCTTTAAATAAAAAGCATTTGATAAACTCGACTAAACTCGCTATCAGCGGACTCGTACCATTATCCATCAATTATATAACAGACAGGAAGATTGCTAATTAAAAGTCATGTCCTAATCATGTTATAAGCAGCGCCGTAGCACATGCTTACACCATCTGCGGCTTGGCTTCGCTTTTTTCACCATGACTTAAGAAACGTTCTTGCTCTTGGTGATAACCTTTTGCGAAAACATAGCATCGCTACATGATTTTTCAAGTGGTTCTCGCAACTTTTTAAAAACCAACAGAACACATTGAATTTTATTACTTTTTCGTTCTTATGGACAACAATTTGACGGATCGATTTGAAGTTTACGTTGTGCTTGCGTGAAGGAGGAAAGTTGCCAACAATGAAAAATTGTTTTGCTCACACAATGTTATCTCTCGCGAAGGCTACTAAGTATCTGAATGCAACGATTTTCTTTTTAGTCCTCCCGGCTAGGAGCATACCATTTACGTGCTTCGATTTGTACATTAAATTACCAGAGCAAACGCTTTATATCAAAACAAATACAAAATATGAAAAAAATTCTTTTATGAAAGTTACGGATATCGTCACGGATCAAGAATAAAGAAAAGTATTCGAAAATCGAGTCATCTTCAAAACCTCTTTCACAAGTGAATGCAGTCTTTCAAAGACTAGTTTTTAGCGTTGTCCGGTAAGTTTGTATTCAATCAAAAAAGAAAAAAAAAAAAAAAATAGAAACAAAACATGAAACTGGCATATGAGAGTCGATTCAATGTGCGGACGTTTCTTAATCCATTTGGATGTTGTTAGCAAATTTTTTTCTAGTCTGCATTTGTAACTTCATTTATTCCTTAAAAAGTAATTTTTTCATCCCACAAACACATACATATATATATATATATACATGTATATATATATACATATGCTACAGCATGTACAAATGTACGCCTCTAGCTAAAGATATAAAAGGAGAAAAAAAGAGATGAAGAAATGTGAAATGGCATTAAGAAAATTTTTTACAAAAAGAAATTGAAAGAAAACAAATGTAGGGAAAACGGAAAGAATATAAATATTAGCTTCAGTTACGAACACATAGACAAATGCTATATGAATGTTTATAAATAGTATATATAACAACTGACAAACGCAACTTAAGTTAGCTCGGCAAAATATGCTGTAAACAGTTGTGTCGTACATACAAGTACTACCACGAGTAGCTGTTTATATTATATGTGGGTGTTACATACACACGCACGCACTCCACTCGTACTCGCAGTACTACAAATAGAGTACATTTCACTTTTTTCACTGTTACGCTAGTTTAACACAGAAATCACATAATAGCTGCTCTCGTTTGAACTTTGCTCTATCTATATATATAAATATATATATATATATATATATATATATATACATATAAATATCTTTTATTTCTTCTAACGATATATAGGACCATGTAGACGTGTATCCTTCATCGTACGCGCAATGTGTGTGTGTGTGTGTGTATGTATGTGCGTATGTGCGCATGTATACTACTTCGGCATATCCACGTAGTTGTAAGTCTTTTGTTTATTTACTTAAAAATTTATGTTTTCATAAAATAGACAGACGCTCTATTTTTATTGTTGTTAAATGTTGATGCTGCTGTTCTTATTGTTGTTATTGCACTGCGCACGACATTATAGTGTTTTAAGCTAAAGTGGCAGAATAATTTTCTATTGTTCTTTGATTAAAAAAGTTTCTCTTTTTCATCCATTTTTTCTTTTCATTTTCTTATTTTCTTTCCTTTAAACTTTTGCTTACAGAAAAATGTCGGTTGGCTTGTTTTTTGAAAAGATATTAAAAATTTATAGACTTATTCTTAAAAATCTTTTCCTACATACACAACCATTACAAATTCGAAAAGAGAACTAAACTGAAAAATATTATTTAAAATTAATAAAGAAACCAAGACAAATTTAATACAACAATATATGTACACTTTTGTATTTAATACTTTAAGCCAAGTTACTTATTCTTTCTCTTTCTCTCTCGTATAGTTTACTTAACATTATGCTGAACAAACAAAAAAAAAAAAAAATGATAATAATTGCATCAAAAATGCATGCATTCCGTTGTAGTAGTGCAAGCATATGCCACTGCAATATTTCAACTTTTAAATTTATAAACTATCTCTCTGCAAAAATATTTTATCAGAAATTTATTTCATAGGCTACAAGTCATAGCATATATTTCGTAGAAGAATTTTGTTGAAAAAGGTTACAAACATGTTACGGATTTTTCTTTTTTTAATTTCATTGAATATTTTCGTTTACCTCGTCTTTGAAGTGATTGCTGAATATCAAAGAATCAGAATCAGGGCATATATAACTTTTATAGCTTCTCTTGGCTAAACATAGGCCATTTCTCCTGAGAGTAGCTATTATTATGGCTTATTACTCACTTACTTAACATTAGGAAAAAAGCTTTAGATCGACTAATGAAAACTTTCTGGAAACTTAAGCTTGCCTCAAGATCTTAATATAAATCGTCTTTTAAAAAGAGCTTCGAAAAAGAAGCATTGGATTGGATGACTCGTTAAAGTGTGTTAATAATTTAAGGAAATCTGTCCTCATAGACGCAAAAATAAGAATAGGAAGCTGAAAGTTGAGTCAAATATTCATTGGACGGTTAAGAATGTGAAATTAAGAAATGAGATGATCAGTTCACATGCTTGTACACAACGCAGAAGAAACACCGGCAATTTTTTTACATAAGTGCCGTGGGTTTCTCTTCTGAAAAGCTTTTCGCTAAATGTTCGCCAAAACTATCCGAACATACTCTCCACCCAATTATAATTAAATTAGAATTGCATTTTTTCATATTTTCCCGAAAATATTGTGGAAAATCTGTGGCCCCGATATTCATTGCGGCCAGTTTCACTTTCAGTATAAAAATGACTAATTAACTTACTAGCACCAATGTGCCTTAGGATAAATGAGAACTAAATTGGAAATAAATTTGAATTGAAATTTTTTTGCACTTAATTATGCAAGCATTAGTAAAGCGCGAGCGACTATTTTCTCTCTAAGCTTGCTCTGTACTAGTTCTGCCAAAAATTCAGGTGGCAGTTTTTCGAGATTATTTTAATTTCCACTATATTATAGGCGTGTATGTGAACAGATCATGCCTAGTCTTGAGCCTCATATACCTAATCGATCAGGGAATGTTTGAGGCGTTTCGTAGCAATAAGTATACAATGGAATAGTAAAGTAACCACATACGTATATTTGCTGCATAATGTCATTAAAAACCGATACACAAGATGTAAAAATATCGATCACCTTAAATTGATGGACGCCATAAGTCCAGCGTTAATACATTTCAGGACAAGAATAATTTTGATATGCTTTATGCTTCATGCAAATGATGCTATTTTTACCTCGAATCCTGTTCTAATCGACTCAATTAGTTACCTCATTGCAGGATTTTTATGTGATTGCTTGATATGCTGCATATTTGCAGTACAAAAGCAGCAGTTGATTCATTTAACGGTTGTTCGCTTTTATTTTCTTCAATCTCCAAACCTTTTAGCAATAAAAAGTCTGACAGAACCACCAGAACAGGACAGAACAGAACTGCATTTCAATAAGGATTTTGCTTTAACAATCAGTATATTTAAGAAAATATTGAATGAGCTCAAATGCACATTTTTCCCCATCTCTCTCGTTGCCTTCTTCTCTTCGTCCTTCTCACTTCCCTTCGGGCTAAATTAAAAAGAGAAAACGCAATCAAATAATTTCAATTTCAAGTGAAATTTGAAATTAAATTGAAAAACAATAGGATGTTCTCGTCACTCATTAATTTCGTTGACAGAGAGAGAGAGAGAGAGAGAAAGAGAACACATATATCATCCCAATTATAAATAAAGGCAAGCAAGCAAGAAAATCTTATCTTGTGCATACACATCCAGCCATGCGCATGCAAGTGCTTCATAGATATGTTACGTAATTATCGTTGTTATACTCACCACCATCACAGGGAAAACTTTCGGCGAGTAAAGTGAATAATTTATCGGATAATAAACATCTACCACGTGGTCCCAGAGGTACACGGCAAACCGGACACTTTACCGAACGGCTGCGGCAATTATTGCACAGAACATGTCCGTTGCAGCACTGCCAACCAGGTGGTTTAATGACCTAAATTTCATAAAAACAGAAATAAACTACGACTTATACACAACATAAAAAAAATAAAAATAAAAAAAATTAAAAAAAGAAGAGAAATTTTAATAATAAATTTTCTTTAATTGGCTTTGTGCGGATAATTTTATGAAAAGAAAACTAAATTTTAAATCAACCGAATCCGCATTCGAATACGAATACGAATACGAATAATAACTAGTAACGCAACTAAAAGGATATTTAAATAAATTATTTGATATTTGAAAAAAAAAAAAAAAATTAATTTTTAACTTTTAAATCTATTTACAGATCCATCTATCTATCTATTCAACCGCAAATATATCTATACGAATACATTCTCACATCTATCAAATATGGTAAGTTCAAGTAAATACTTTTTATGAAAAAAATATGTTTCATTTAAACAAATTAGAAAAGCATAAAATAAAGACAAGAGTTTCTTCTTGTTTCTCTTTTTTTTTAATTTTTTTTTTCTTTTTTTTTTGATTTTCTGATTTATCTTAAAATGTATGATACCAGAGTCAGGCAGTCAGTGTGTCAGTCATTCAGACAGTTTTAGTTTTGCTTACGTTATACGTATACATAAATGTATGTTGTGTTGACATTTCTTCGTAAGGGCTTATATAAAATATTTGCATATTTTATATGTCCCTTATAACTTTTAACAAATAAATCACAATAACTAACTGTCAGTGCTATGCAAATTTTGTAGACAAATTCTCATTTCAAAATATATATATATATATATATATGTATATATATATATATGTGCATATATAGGACTTACAGTATGCCATCGCCCCAGCATTCCCAACACTCTGCTTCCATTCTTATACTCATTTAAAAAACAATTAATTCCAGAAAATTCGAAAAGTAAAACAAAAAAAAAACAAAAAAAAAAAACCTTAAAGTATTTATATCAACCAATTTTAACTCGGAATTATTTTCATTTTTATTGTGCAGTTAGGTTATAATAGCTTTCACACTTACAACAAACAAAAGTGTTTATAGGAAAATCAAAATAATATTCAAATATTATCTGATTACACATATGCACGAGATACATACATTATATCAAGTAACTGCTACGAAATATTTCAATAAATATTATTATTGTGTGCATTCGTCTAGAAAATAAAAATGACAGGAATTTTGTAGTTTTCTTAAATAAGATAAATTCCTATAACCACATCATCCGGAAAGATGAAAGAATATAAGTTTGGTTGCTTGCTTCACATCCGTTCGTCCTTTCATCCCAAAAATTTTCCCATTTATCGCAAAATGATTTCCATAGATTTGAAACAAGTAAGAAAACTGTACGCGCTCTAGAGCCATCTTCATCAAATACAGGAAAGAGCAAAGTGTTTTATTTTATGCTTACATATGTGTTTAGATACCTATGCCAAGTGTTACTGTAACGTCTGCTCCAAGCTGGAAGCTCTAAACTACAATATTGAAGAAAAGTTCTTCCCGTTGTTGTGGGTAAATTTCCCAACTTGATCGGGAGACCAAGCCAAACATCTACGCAGAAGACTTTAGCTTTCTTTTTTACAATTGCCACAGTTTCGCACGGACGTACCTGCGAACGGATAATTGATTTGTTTATCTGTCTCGGCTCACAACCTTACGCAGATTAACAGTATATTGTAAAGGATCGGCTCATTGATATAAATGGGTATAGAGAGTATAAGGATTCTGACAGCAGATGGATGACTGTACGATCGAACAAAGAGACTGCTATGACAATACTGACTGGGAATTTTACGCTCAATAAGTACATGGTCAAGGTAGAGGGAAAAGTTTGTCGCATTAAAGGCGAAATTCGTGAAGCTTTTCCCAACAGAAGGCTTCAAGGTCGCGTAACTTTGGCAATACTAATCCTGCCAAGTCGTGTTACAAGACGTTAAAGGCGACAGTCTGCAGATAATCTAATTAAAAACAAGTAAGAATATTACATTCGTAGTTTTTATACCCATGTCCGTTATCCTACTAAGACTAAAAAAATACATTTTTATACTCTTATGATATTGAAGGAGTGCGATTGATGTTTTCCATTTTCAAAGTGAAAAAAGTGCGAATTTTTATGATGTATAGACGTATAACAAGCAAAAAACACGAAAAGGAGAACAATTTGTGTTGTATTGATGTGGGGGCAGTTATAGGCGTTTTGGTAGATTTTTGCGAACGGGGGAAAGCGTTTTCCACAAATACTATGCAGCTGAGCAGATGGACAGACGGGCAAACGAATATGCTTACATGCACTCCGAATTTGAAACTGAGCAAGAATTTAGACAGTTTATGGGATATTTGAAGCTTGCTTTTTTTTACGTGTCTTAAACGTATTAAAAATAACATAAGATAAATATGGTCCATTCTTCCAATTTTTGTGTGGATATTACAGCATCGCCCATACAATATACACTCAAAAGAACAAACTTTTCATTCCGTGTCCTTCGACTGATTTGGCCCATTTTCAATACCAAGCTGCGTGCAAGACCTTCTAATGCTTCTGCCAAATTTGACGATAGCTTCATTTTGGCGACCAAAACAACTTTTACAACAAACATTACAAAGACAGACTGACGGATGTGTATTTAAATCGATTCAGAATTTAGTGCAGATCAAGAATACAATTTGTGAGTCTTTGAAGCTTCCTTCAAGCATTACAAACGTTTACCTCATGTGTCGGTGATGGGCATAAAAACGTTTTAACATTAGTTAGACAAAAGTAATTGAGGCCGAAAATTCAAAAAAACTTTAGCGTCACTTTTACGGAGGCAACAAATAATTCAGAGACTTGCGATAGAAATCGTGGTGTTTCGAATGAAGATGTTTGATCAAAATTTTTTGCTCGTTTCCAATCGAAAAATGTGTTTACGTTTTGGCCACAGACATTTTCCTCGACAATATATATGCTTTCTTGATGATCCAGAGAACCACAAACAAAACACATATACGGTACGTACTGCCCTCATCGATTCGATACTTTCGTTATAAAAATTATATTTTACGCATATGTAGCTTATATTCGATATTTAATTAAATAATAATCCGCAAACCCAACCTTTACAGAAAAAAGAGAGAAAACAATAAAATTAAATGCGGTTTAACTGTTACACAAACGTTTTCTAATCGCAAATCTTTTCATGTTTAGTCATCGTATTAGTTGGATACGAATTCACATAAACGTTTCATTTAACAACACACACTAAACCACAGTGCAGTTCATAATAACTTTAACAAAAACTATTCGCTCATAATACATAATTTATAGAGAATTAATTTTTCGAGCGCCTTCTTCATGCGTAAATGGCAGCCAATAAAAACACTATCAACGGATACGGCCCGTCATTAAATACCCTATACCCCTTCGCTTAATATCGTTAATGATATAATGACTTTTCAAAAAGTGATGCGATCCGACCGTTAAGCCAAAACATATCAGTGCAGCAGATTTAATTGAAGAACCTCTAAAATTGCGACCGTTACATTGACTTTAAGAGAACAAGGCAGAGAAATAGACGAACGGGCCGACAAGCTTGGAACGTTTTAAAAAGTAATTCATCGCTTAACGCAAAGAGCTTTCCAAATAAGGTGTTAAGCGGAAGGAAGCGGTTGAGAAAGGGATCCATTCCGAGCGATTTTTAATAGCGTTAACGCTTCTTCGAAAACATGTCAGTGTGTACGAAATCTGCAAAACTTGCTACCTATACTTTGATCATAAAAAATCAGGACGAACCGACAAAGAACGGGCTGCCAAGCTTGGATCGATTCATGAAGCGATCCACTGAATTGTTCGATATAACGAAAGGTGTATCTATCTTATGGGTGTATGGGTGTTGCATACATTCGCACAAACTTAACTTAACCTTGTACTCCAAATGGCGGAGGATCTAAGAAATTTTTGATTTTACAAAATTACTCGTAAATAAACGTAATTCATATGCAAAATGTTCCTCACATTAGATAGCGATTCTTGCCAGTATTACGCACAATAATTGAAAAATTGCAAGCGTACGCTTTGAAGCGATTATACTTGTTATGAAAGGCATCTTCTCATATATCTTTATTTATTGTAAATTAAAGGATATTTTGAAAAGTATCTTTAGTAATAGAAAATTTCGAAAATTATACAATGAATTTCGTAAGAAAAGCATATTTTACGTTTTCTTAAAATGTAATTAAAAAGCATTTTAAAGAGATTTTCACAATATTAAATCAACGTTAAAGTGTATGTGCGGACACAAAACGCATGAAATTATTATAATCAAATTTTACACATTTATGCACTTAATGACAATAAATAATAGTAAGGGGTCCGAGGTAAAGGGAGAAGAAAATAATACAAAACATCAATAAAATAATAAATTTCCTTTAAAATGGTAAGAATGAATGAATGAATGAATGAATGAATGAATGAATAAATGGAATCATATTTAACAGTAAGCGTAGAATACCAAACGACGGTAAATAATACATTTATGCATGTAGATATGTAGGCACATGTATGCAGGTAGAGTAGGCATTTATCCAGGCAAACATAAAATATCCCTTAATAATAAAACAATAAAACGAAAGATTGGATCATTGAAAATGTTCTGAAAACAATTCACAAGTGTTCGTCTATCTTTCACCTATTATTGAATCACTTGGGATCATTCCAAAACGTATTTGATAATAGCTGTAACCACAAGCCCGCAAACACAGCTACAGCGAATTAACTTCGGAACAGAACGAAAATGTCAATATGTCTCTTGCCGCAGATAGTCATAAACAGGTCATCGTCTATGACATTGTGAATCTGTTCCAAAGAATGTATTGTGACAAGCTTTCTCTCAGTTAACAAAATCTTATATTAAAATTGATGGCAATCCATTAACGCTCCAAATTAATTAAGCCTTTCTTTCTATTGAAAAGAAAAATGTTTCTTTTAACACAATTCGCTTGACATCCAATAACCTAACAACAAATTTTCGAAATTTTTTTAAACATCA